AATAAGTGTGTATCAATCCCATCCTATGTGCTGAGTGCCGTGCTAGAAGCAGTAGACGAGTGTATGATCAGAAAGAGTTGGGATTAAAAACAGAACAAGATCCGCTCCTATTTTCCTAGAATTCCTAGGGCTCTCTGGGCACCTGGTCACTTTCCCACCTTGAGAAATGGCGGGGGGCGGGGGGAGCTGAAGGATTACTCAGACGAGCATCTCAAATAAATTTGAGGCAGCATTGGGTGCCTAGGGAAGCTATTCGGGAGGTGGAGTGCTAATTCGCTAAAGACAGGATGAAAAGTTACTTCCTTCTGATTTGAAAATATTGGTCACAGAGGTGTTTAAAGTTCATTACGGAGTTAGTTTCAGTGTTTATTCTTTCTGCCGTGGTCATGTGTGGAGAGAAGGATATGGAAGAAAAGAGGCAATGGTTAAAAACATTTTAAAGCTGATTCAGAGGCTAGAGACATGAGTGAAGTTTGTCTGTTTACTTTGTTTTGTTTTTAACGGTGGGTATGGCAAATAGGCCATGTAGTTGAGTTTGAACTTGAGTCTGAACTTGAGTGATGTGTGTCTGAACGCGAGTGATGCCGTTGGTGGTTGCGGTCATGTCACCAGCATTGGTCCCTGCTGTGTACCAGGTCTCCCGCAGGAATCAAAGACAAAGAGGTCACAGTTCCTGCGCCTGACGGGTGTGATGTCTTGCGCAACGAGTAAGATGGGGGTGCAAATCAGAGAAGAAGCAAAAGGCTGTAAGAGAGGTACAACGTGCTCTTGGGGTGGTGGGGGTGATAACATCTACCAGTTGGGGGCCATCAGGAAAAGTACCATGGAGGTGGTGGCGTTTGAAATGGACATTATAAGTTACGTCGTATTTTGAGTGGCAGAAGGGGAGCTGTGTCACTTCAGAAGTCCCGCTCTTGAATTTCACATCCCTACTTCCCCATAATTATAAACCCTTTTTGGAGATCAGCTGGTTGTTAGTTTGGCTATCTGGTATATGTTTGGGGGGTGGTTTGGGAAGGTGCCTGGGTGGGGGTAGAAATCCTTGAAGGTTTGAGCAGAGCTGTGCAATGACCGTGCATGTGCTTCATTAATTGTAACCTGGAAGCAGTGTGAACTCACTTCAGTTACGAGAGCAGATTGCAGTGGAGAGACGGTCACAGTTGTCAGGATGTAATGAAACCATAGAATGAGCAAAGTCAAGGAGTCAAAGAGTTCTTAGGCTTGGCACCAAAAGATGGTCAGGTTCCTCTTGACACCAAAAGGAAAAAACGATCAGTTGGATCTCATCAAAATTGGAAACTTTTACTTTGTGGAATATCCTGTTAAAAGGATGAAAAGTCAAACTACAGAATGGGAGAAAAATATTTGCACACCACATGTATGTATAACAAAGGACCAGGATCTAGAATATAAGGACTCTCAAAACCCAACAGTTAAAAAAATAGTTTAAAAAATGGGTAAAAACACATGAACAGAAGAGGATATACAGATGGCAAATAAACACATAAAAAATATTCAGCATCATTAGTCATCAGGGAAGTGCCCATTGAACCCACGATGTGATAACACCACACGACTATAAACATGTCTACAGCAAAAAATAGTGACAACACCAGATGCTTTGAGGATGTGGAGAAATTGGATTATTTGTCCATTGCTGATGGGAATGTGAAATGGCACCATCACTCTGGAAAACAATTTGGTGTGTCTTATAAAACTATATGTGCAATTATCATCCTTCTAAAAGTTTAGTAAAATGGCATTCACAAGAAATGAACAACAGAAAAGTGTTGAGGTCAAATGCCATGCAGAGTTACTATGAGAAAAAAGGCAAGTAAGGGGCAAAACAACATCATCACCAACCATGAAAGCATGCTAGAAAGATACACGCTCCAAAATATGTCTGTAAGGTTAGATTTAAAAAAAAATTCAGAGAAATTATCCCAAATAGCCAAAGCAATCTTGAAAAAGAAAACCAAAGCAGGAGGCATCACAATCCCAGACTTCAAGCTATACTACAAAGCTGTAGTCATCAAGACAGTATGGTACTGTCACAAGAACAGACACTCAGATCAATGAACAGAATAGAGAACCCACAAATGGACCCACAAACATATGGCCAACTAATTTTTGACAAAGCAGGAAATAATATCCATTGGAATAAAGACAGTCTTTTCAGCAAGTGGTGCTGGGAAAACTGGACAGCGACATGCAGAAAAATGAACCTGGACCACTTTCTTACACCATACACAAAAATAAACTCAAAATGGAGGAAAGACCTCAATGTAAGATAGGAAGCCATCAAAATCCTTGAGGAGAAAGCGGGCAGAAACCTCTTTGACCTTGGCCACAGCAACTTTTACTCACCACGTCTCCAGAGGCAAGGGAAACAAAAACAAAGATGAATACCTGGGACCTCATCAAAATAAAAAGCTTCTGCACAGCAAAGGAAACAATCAGCAAAACTAAAAGGCAACCAACAGAATGGGAGAAGATATTTGCAAATGACATGTCAGATAAAGGGTTAGTATCCAAAATCTATAAAGAACTTCTCAAACTCAACACCCAAAAAACAATCCAGTGAAGAAAAGACACGGGCAAAAGACATGAATAGACACTTCTTCAAAGAAGACATCCAGATGGCCAACCAACACGTGAAAAAATGTTCAACATCACTCATCATCAGGGAAATACAAATAAAAACCACAATGAGATACCACCTTACACCTGTCAGAATTGCTAACGTTAACAACTCAGGCAACAACAGATGTTGGTGAGGATGCGGAGAAAGAGGATCTCTTTTGCGTGGTTGGTGGGAATGCAAGCTGGTGCAGCCACTCTGGAAAACAGTATGGAGGTTCCTCAAAAAACTAAAAATAGAACAACCCTACAACCCAGCAATTGCAGTACTAGTCATTTATCCACGGGATACAGGTGTGCTGTTTCGAAGGGACACATGCACCCCCATGTTTATAGCCAAAGTGTGGAAAGAGCCCAAATGTCCATCGATGGATGAACGGATAAAAAAGATGTGGTATATATATATACCATGGAGTATTGCTCGGCAATCAAAAAGAATGACATCTTGCCATTTGCAACTACATGGATGGAACTGGAGGGTATTATGCTAAGTGAAATTAGAGAAAGACAAAAATTATATGACTTCACTCACATGAGGACTTTAAGATACAAAACAGATGAACATAAGGGAAGGGAAACAAAAATAATATAAAAACAGGGAGGGGGACAAAACAGAAGAGACTCATAAATATGGAGAACAAACTGAGGGTTACTGGAGGGGTTGTGGGAGGGGGGATGGGCTAAATGGGTAAGGGGCACTAAGGAATCTCCTCCTGAAATCGTTGCACTATATGCGAACTAACTTGGATGTAAATTTTAAAAAAATAAAAAAATTAAATTAAAAAAATTTTTTTAAAAATCAGAGAAATTAAGAAAATCATACAAGACATACAAGAATAACATAAGGAAGAATTAGCCAACACAGAAATGAAATGATAGAATTCAAGATTATGCTTAGAAATAAATAATTAAAATAATTTTAGAAATGAAGATTAAACTAGAAGGAACAGGAAATACATCAAATAAAGGAGAAAAGATGGAAAAATATTTAGATGTGAAAAGAGATCAAAAGGGGTCAAAAGAAAATTTCAAATATCAATGATCTGCCACGAAGATCCAACGCATAGATGAGAGGAAGGTAGCAAAGAAATAACACAAATACTAAAATTATAATTGAGAAATTTTGTCAACATAAAAAAATGGAAAATATCTATTGAAAGAATGCCTTTGTACCCGAAAATATTGACCTGGAATGGCTAGTATAAACCACATCCCAGTAAAAATTACTGATGTTTAAAGAAAGAGAGGAAACCCTCTGGATATCTGGGTAACGTTCGTATATTACCTATACGTGAAAGAAAGGGGGATTATCATCAGTCTTTGTGACAGTAATGCTGTGCGCTGGAAGAAACTGGAAGACTGTATCGGAGATGTCCGCAGAGAAAGAAAATGTGAGCCAAGGGTTCCATATCTGGAAAAACCGACCTTCAAAAACGTAAAGGACAGTGACGACTGTTGGCCTGCAAGAGTTCAGGGAATATTGCTCCCGTGACCCTTCTTAAGGAATCTGCCGAAGACTGTGTTTCCCTGAGCCCTTCTTCAGACTCTGCAAGATAATGACTTTGGACAAGCACAGCCACTGGAGAGGCATCTAGAGAGGACTAGCTGTGAGCAGTAAGTAATTGCTAAATGGTGGCTGGGAGGAAACCACTGTGCTACGTGATGGATGGCTAATCTGACGGTGCAGGTTTAGTGTAACTATAAAAAAATGTAGAGGAAGGGACATTCCTTAGGTAGACTAACTTGTATTTCTAGACAGGAAAATAGTAAAAGGGTCGCTGGGCAAAGAATTGGCATAAGTGCCATATTATTAGGTCATGAGTGCTCTTCTCTCCAGGACTTTATATATAAAAATCTATTTTAGAACCTCTGTTCTAGACCATGCCTGATACCTAATATTCTTGGTCAACTAGTATTGTAGCTTTTTTGTGGAGATTTGACTTTGGCATTTGCAACGGCTAAAAGAGGAGGTACATAGGTGGGGAGGTAGAAAATTTTAGTTAATAGGGACGCCAGGGTGGCTTAGTTGGTTAAGCGTCCGACTCTTAATTTTGGCTCAAGTCATGATATCATGGTTTGTGAGTTCGAGCCTCACATCAGGCTCAGCGCTGACAGCTGGATGTACTCGTAGCACAGGTAGATCCTGGATTTCTTGGTATGCCTCTGGGAGTCTTGTCAGATGAGGCTAGGTGGAAGATAGAACAGGCATCTAGATTTACCACTGTCAAGGTTTTCTTTGAGAATCTTCTGGGAGAACAAATGGCTTTTCCTCAAGGAGGAAGCAACAAAGCTCTGGGCTTTTCTAAAGCTGCCCAAGTTTTGTGCACGTGAACTTCTGGTGCTTGTTACTCGGCTGGCAGATCCAGGACTTGCCCTTTGAAGAAGTAAGCAAAGGTGTCCCAGATGAAGGCAAAGTTCAAAAGCAGAATGACAGTAAGGACACAGAAGCACCCGGCCTTCTGTGCCACTGAAAGGATGAAGGAAATGTTTGTAGAATCAGAATGTTCTGGAAATGTACTTTTTATTATTATTACTAGTAATAACTTGGTAGGAAGATAGATGTACAAGTACGGTGGAAATGATCTCCCCATCACCCCCACTTTTTGTCAGTGTTGTAATGGTGTTTCATGGTCTTGGATTTTGATGTGCCCCCAACGGTTGTTTATTGTATTCCTTCATTTTTCTGATACAGATTCTTTACACTTAAAAAGACTCATTTCTTGGTGGATAATACACTTGATTGTACACTTGATAGCTGCACTATTATACTGCTCACATTAGTTAACAGAAAGCAACTAGAATGTTTGGTTTATGTGCGAACATCGTCTAAGGATAGGAAAGGAAATTAGTCCAAGTTACAAGATTAGCAAACAGAAAGGATGAGAAAACATTTATTTCTATGAGTTAATTTATTTTTTTTTAATTTTATTTTCTTAGAGTATGAGCAGGGGAGAAGGGCAGAGGAAGAGAGAGAGAGAGAGAGAGAGAGAGAGAGAGGGAGAGAGAGAGAGAAAGATCCCAAGTAGGCTCTGCACAGTCAGTGCAGAGCCCGACATGGGGCTTGATATCACAACCCTGGGATCATGACCTGATCCGAAATCAAGAGTTGGACACTCAACCAACTGGGTGTTCCTCACTTCTATGAATGATTTTAAAAATGAGAATTAAAACAATGCTTACATTAGATACACTAATTCCTAGGTCAATATTTTTGAATGAATATATTTTTGAATATATCTAAAACTACCAATTAATATCTAATAAATGAGAAAATGAAAAGAATGGTAATACCCACCAAGATGAGGATGTGGTAAAATACACCAGTAAGGGTAGTGTGTTTTTTATTTGACTGCTTGTATTCTCTGATTGTTAAAAATAAGTAGTCACATGGAAAATTCAAACAAGGCAGAACCCTATAAAGGGAAAAATAAAAATGACCCCACATCTCTCCACGCAGAGGAAACCCCTGATGACATTTTGGTGTGTACCTTTTTAAACAGCTTTCTGTGAAGATAAACATTTTAAATTGCTGTAATAACATTGTATGTACTGTTTTGCAACCTGCCACGAAGACATCATGTTCGATTTAACCAACTATGTACATGGTAGACTCCTCTTCTCTGCATTTTCTTATGAGTAAACAACTCTAAGATGAACGTCCTTGAATATACATCCATCCGCACTTGATCAGGTACATCCTGGAAGAAATGATTATGAGCAGAATGTCCAGCAAAGAATACACTGACTTTAAACTTTGAACCCCGTGGGCAGAATACACCCCAGAAATAGGGAAGTTTACGTGCAAACTTATATAGTAACTGCTGTTCACCGTATTCGTATATGCTTTCCAGTATTTGGCATTGTTAATATATATTTTAAAAATTTTGACATTGAGGCATAAAAATTTAGATCTCATTCATTTATTACACATTTCTTTGAGTCTCCCTGAAATTCATTACTCATATTCCTTTTGCTTTTGGCATTTTTCTAGTTGCCAGTTGCCTACTGATCCCTCTTACTAATCAATAAGGATGTTCCTTCTTATTTTTTTTTAGTAAATTGTATCATGAGGATATTAAATCTTTGCTGGGTATGCTGAAAATATTTTCCGAGCTGATAATTACTTTTCAATTTTGTTTAAAGCATTAATTTTGGTTTTTTTGTTTGTTTAATTTTTTTTTTCTTTTTTCTTTTTTCTTTTTTTTTTTGCGGGGCACCTGGGTGGCTCAGTCGGTTAAGCTTCTGACTTCAGCTCAGGTCATGATCTCGTGGTTCATGAGTTCGAGCCCTGTGTCGGGATCTCTCCTGACAGCTCAGAGCCTGGAGTCTGCTTCACATTCTGTCTCTCTCTCTCTCTCTCTCTCTCTCTCTCTCTCTCTGCCCCTCCCCCACTCACACTCTGTCCCTCTCTCTCAAAAAGAAACATTAAAAAAAAAAACTTTATAAGACTTTTTTTGCAAAGGTAGATTACAAAAATTAAGGAGTTACGAGTACTTCCTGGATTTTTCGGCATACTTAAAAAAGATCTGCTCCGCCCATATTTAAACAGAGGATAGGAGAGGATGAAGAAAAGGGGATATATGGTCAGGCATTTTGCAACGTCTGAAAGTAGGAAAAAACAGCAATATCAAATCATAACTGAACACACAAACAACAGCAAAACAAACAAAAATTCTGACCGTATCTAGTTCAGGAGAATTGAACCAGATAAATTTTGACGCTTTTATTGTATTCTGAGAGGCATGTAATCAATATGTGGAGAAATGCTTTCACTGCTTCAAAAGGTATTAAGTACGAGGTACTGTGCCGGGTTTTGATTCAGAGGAAGAAAAGATCATGATTCTAAAAAATAAAGTCACTCCTGCCTGCAAAGAGCTCCCAGCTCCCAGGCTGTAATAGTTGTGTGTGTGCAAGGTCCTGGAGAAGGCCAGCATCTTTATTTTCTCTCATCCTACTTCAAAACCATAAGAAAACAATTGGTAAATGCAGAAAATCTTAACTTCTTGGGAAAAAGCCACATTTCTTGTGATTTAAAGAAAACATATTATATATACAAGAGCCCCAGACTCCCTCTTCTGCATCTACTAGTGGTTGTGTTCTCGTGAGGAGACATCGACGCCTTTGAGACACTGACTGGGCTATAACAGTTAAACCTGTAATCATGCTTTATGCCAGGAAAATGTTTTCAAAACATCTGCGCTGTTTAACCAGCCGAGATGTTTTGTGCGAAATATATGTGAATGCTTCTGTCAGGAGGTAATCGTTCAGTTGAAGCAACGGCTGAAAATATTTGGTCATCTTAACTCTGTGTGTGTGTGTGTGTTGAATGGGTGTGCATGAATGTGCCACATACTCACGTAACAGTAGAATTTTATATGTAATTATGTTTTTAAGTCAAAGCACTTACTGCATTTGATCTTGTAAGGGAAAATGTAAGACATTAAGGATGGGAACGAAGATCTTTATAATGAGAGCAATGACATTAAATCACATCACGTAAAATTCCTTTTCATGGGATTTGGGAAATTATTTTACCTTTATTATTCAGTCTTCACACAAAGCTCGTGGAATAAGCTCAGTGTTTTCATTTTACATAGTGAAAAAAAAAATGTGACTCAGTGCAATTAGGTGCTTGGAGTCCCTAGGTGAGTAAATCTCAGAGATAAGAACAGAACCCAAGTTGATTACTATTGTCCCCACCCTACAGCTGCCCCAACGCCAAGACCTGTTTAACTTGTAAAAGAAGGAATAGCAGGTCACTTCCCAGTTACCTATGTATGAAGCTAACCAGAGCCTGGCTGCTCACCACGGCCCCGCTTGCACAAACTAAGCTCCGTGTTGACTGAGCCTGCCTTGCACAATGTGGGAGGAGCAACAGTGGGCTTTGGAGTCAAATTTAATCTTGGGTCTTAATTCTGGTTCTGCCACTTTCTAGCTATGCATATTTGGACCTAAAGTCTCTGCCTTATCTTTGTGCCAAGACACTGGAGGTGACAGTGCTTACAGTGAAGATTATGTGAGATCTCTGGCACATACGAGGTGAATTACCCACCTCAAGAGTCACCCACAGGGGGCTCCGGGGTGACTCCATCCATTAAGCAGCAACTCTTGATTTCCGCTCGGCTCATGATCTCATGGTTCGTGAGTTCAAGACCCACATCAGGCTCTGTGCTGACGGCGTGGAGCCTGCTTGAGATTCTCTCTCTCTCTCTCTCTCTCTCTCTCTCTCTCTCCCTCTCCCTCTCCCTCCCTCCCTCCCTCCCTCTCCGTCTCCCTCCCCCTCTCCCTCTCTCTCTCTGCTTTCTCCCCCCCGTCTCTCAAATAAATAAATTTAAAAAAAAAAAAAGAATCACCCACAGGGACATTCCCTGACTTTCCTGGAATGCCATCAAGGGATACAAAATGATTTGAGGAGTACAAGGTTTATAGGGAATGGGGCCTTGGACATAAGTCAAGAGTTTTGAGCTCTGTGCTAACCCACCTGCAAAAAATTCGTATGGGGCCATAGTTAAATTCGTCTTTTATCTCCGACCCTCATATCCTCTTACGTCTCAAGAGGCATTCTATTAAGTAGAAAGAAATGGAGAGCCTTGAGAACACGAGAGAAATAGAGGAATGGCGTTGCGGAACCTTTTTACAGTGCTCAAAATGGGTTTTCCTAATCCTTTCTTTTTTTTTCACCCTTTGTAGCTGATGGCGTCTGTGTCTTTAAATGCTTACTCAACAGAGACACGGAATGTTGCCGCGTGGGGAAGGAGTCCGTCTTGATCACTCTGGGATACAGCAGTGCTCTGTTGAAGTTTGAATCTCACGCGGGTAAGTTTTGCGCCTGTCCTGGCTCCCTGGCTTTTCTGAGGCCGAGTCTCCTGATTAGGTGACTTTGCTGTTACTGATTGGCTGGCTCTGGCGGTGTGTTTCCTGATGTGAGCTGTCATCAACCGAGACCCGGCTTTGAAAACAGTGCTTAGCTGACACCGGGGCTAGAGAACAACCAGCCTTTTTGTCGACCATGAGAATGCTGTTATTCTTGGCCCCCCTTTTGGTCCTCCTCCATCCAGAGCTGCGGGAGAGGCCAGGAAGGATTGTCCCGGTCGTCGTCACTTACTGTTGCTTCTTCTTGAAGAGGAGGTTGTTTCCAGAAATGTGGCGTTTCAAGTGGCGTGCCGTTCAGAATGATTCGACCTTGTTTTTGTCTTTGAATCATCAGCTGAACATTTTTAGACTCCTGACGACAAATGAACAGCGGCAGGGAGGTAGAGTATAATCGGAAGCGTTTTAAGAAGGGACGGAAAGGCCCTCTGGAAGATTGTGAATCTGATCAAGGAAATGAAGGCTCTCAGTGCCTCAGGTCTGCCTTAGGTGGTTGATGGTCTTTTTTCAACTTGGATATAAATTGATCCTTGGTGTTAATCCAGACAGTGTAAACCATTAGGTTTGGTAAATAGTCTCCTCTGGTTAGCTAAAATATCCTAAGCTGTTTCATAACTACTTGGGATAAAGAAGTTAACCTGGTTTCTTGTTTTGAAATTCCACTCATGCAGGAGTCAGCCAGAGTGAGGAACGTATCACGTGTCTGTCCGTCTCTCCATTCTCTGTTCATCCATCTGTCCATCTTATTTTTATGATGCATTTCAGAGGACATGATAATAACCAGCACATCTAAGCCCCTCTGGTTTTCAAGGCCACGTGTTACGGGGATTCATCTTCCCAGTGTAGGTCCCTGTGTCTGGGGTGCCTGGTGTGATAATCTGTTTCTTTCCCCTCTCTGTGCCCACATTATCCCTCCCTCCTACAGACAGTCCCGTGGGTCAGTTTGGTTCCCGACCGCGTCTCCACCTTTCCTACCCTCTTCAGTGTGTTCTCTTCTCTACATTTAGCTGTGGAGACTCTGTCCTGCCAGTCTTCGGGTCATTTTCTGGGTTAGTCACCCTGATGTGGGTGTTATCTAGGTGTATCCATGGGACAAGTTAAGCCCAGGATTCTCCTACTCCGCCACCCTCCCTGGAAGTCTCTAATTAATTTTCAATAATAATCTTGGATACCACAACCTTTTATAGTCACTTACTAGTTCTAGTAGTTCTCTTTTAGATTCCTTAGAATTTCCTATGTTAAAAAAAAACAACTGTCGTGCTTGCTTCGGCAGCGCTTATACTAAAATTGGAACGATACAGAGAAGATTCGCATGGCCCCTGTGCAAGGATGACACGCAAATTTGCGAAGTGTTCCATATTTTTTTTTTTTTAATTTTTTTTTTTTCAACGTTTATTTATTTTTGGGACAGAGAGAGACAGAGCATGAACGGGGGAGGGGCAGAGAGAGAGGGAGACACAGAATCGGAAACAGGCTCCAGGCTCTGAGCCATCAGCCCAGAGCCTGACGCGGGGCTCGAACTCCCGGACCGCGAGATCGTGACCTGGCTGAAGTCGGACGCTTAACCGACTGCGCCACCCAGGCGCCCCTTAAGGGGCACTAAGGAATCTACCCCTGAAATGGATGTAAATTTTAAAAAATTTAAAATAAAATAAAAACGAAAACAAAAACAAAACTGTCATCTGCAAATAGAGATGACTTTCCCTGTTTTCTGATCTTTATGCCTTTTATGTTTTTTTCTTGACTTTTTGAAATTCTTGTGATTTCCAGTACAATGTTGAATAGATCTGGGAAAGCAGTTGTCCTTGACATTCTCCTGATTGTAAGGAAAGTCCACTTGTCACCATTAAGTATAATGTGTGTGGTCTATCTTTTGTGGGTGCCAATGATCACATCGGGGAAGTTTACTTCTTTGCCTAGCTTGTTGGAAATTTTTATTATAATTAGGCATTAGATTTTGTTAAGTATTTTTCTGGATCTGTTGAGACTATCATATTGTATAAATGTAGTGAATTACCTGGAATGAAATAGTTTGCATAGAACTGGTATTAATTCTTCATTAAATTTTTGATAGGATTCACCTGCAAAGTGACTGGGGCTTAAGGTTTTAGCAATAGAGTGATTTAGTAGATATAGGACACTTCAGATTTTTTCCTCGTGTCGATTTGATGTTTTATATTCTTCCGTGGAATTACTGCATTTCATCTAAGATGTCAGATTAAAATTTCTTCATAGTTTACGTGTTATCCTCGTTTTTTATCATTGTTTTTAAAGTTTATTTATGTATTTTGAGAGAGACAGAGACAGCATGAGTGGGAGAGGGGCAGAGAGAAAGGGAGAAAGAGAGAATCCCAAACAGGTTCTGTGTTGCCATTATAGAGCCGGCTGTGGGGCTCGAACCCACGAAGACATGAGGTCAAGACCTGAGCTGAAACCAAGAGTCAGACACTTAACCGAGAAGCCACCTAGGCGCCCCTCCACATTATCCTCTTACTTCATAATATTTATTATAATTTCTTTTCTCCTGATAATTGGTTATTAATGTCTGATCTTTCTTTTTTTTGATCAGCATCGCTAGAGGTTTATCAATTTTATAAGTCTTTTCAACAAATCAGCTATGGGTTGCATTTTTTTTCTCTTTTACTTACCTCTTTTCTATTTCATCGATTTCTCTTTATAATTTTCTTTGTTTTTTTTATTCCGTGATTTTGCTCTGCCCTTGTGTTTTAACTTCTTACAGTGAAGCTTTAAGTCGGTATTTTGTCCTTTTATTCTTTTCTAGTATAATTTCCTGAAGTCGTTAACCTTCCACTAATTCTGGCTTTCCTGATATATAACCAGACTTCCCTATGTTGCATCTTCATTGTCATCCTGTTCAAATACATTCTGATTTCTCTTCTGATTACTTCTTTGGTCTCTGAGATATTGAGAATTATTTTAATTTTCAGGTACTTAGAAGTTGTGCAGATCTCTTTCCGTCATGGAAGCTGGACATTCTAAGTGTTGTGCTATTGAGTGTCTGGATTCCGCTGACTTCCTTTACGGAGTATTAAGGTTTGTTCGCTCAGATGGATTAGCTAATTTTAGGTCAGCTTGATTCTTCTGAGACTCGCTTTTTAGCTTTGCCTTGGCCGACTTAGGGAAGTCTTTATTCTAGGTCTAGTTTTGACATGCTCCTAAGGTGTGTCTGATCCTTGGTTTCTGCTGTTACGTCTTAATTGTTCAGCAAGGTCTCTCCACTCTGGCTGGAGCTAGAAACTCTCCCCACCCTGTGTTATCTCTGGGAATTGTTCAGCTTAGAGCTCTCTCATAGTTATTCTTGGCCCACTGTGGTTTTGACCATCTTCTGGGCATCAACCCTACACATATTTTATTTAAGATTTATTCAGCTAGAAACTCAAGGGGAGCCCTATGCAAATATTTTTAGTTTTTTCTTCCTATAGAAAGAGCTTGCTTTCGAGTAATCGGCCTTAGAAATTCCAGCAGCTTCAGCCTTTCTGAATACCAATCTCTGTATCTTCCACTCAGCAAGATCTCTCCGTCCTGGTTTGCTTTGCAGACCATGTGCTGCAGTATGGATAATGTCTCTAGACAGAAAACCAGGCTAATTGTAGCAGTGTCCTCATTGGTTTCCCTTCTGGATCACAATTTTGCATTGCCTGTCTGTTCTCTGCTGTCTGACGGCACTGTTTCATATATCTTCCTTGTTTCATGTAGTTTTCTTGTTTCAGTGGAAGGAAAAGTCTGGTACCAGTTAATCTGTCATGATTATGAGGGGAGTGTTCCCTGTTTCTTTCAAAAGAAAGAAATTCACACGCTCAGAACACTTCACATTTCCCGGGCAGTAGTCATGGGTATTCATGAAAAGCCAGAAGCAATCAACATTTTCATTACTTTAGCGTACATCCTAGCTCATTTGTACAATTACCGTACAACCCACAAATCAGAGCCTTCTGTCCTGCAAGCCAAGAGAAATGAGTTTCAACTCACAAAATATTTGCAAACGTTTCCTTCCCTTCAGTGGTAGATCTGCCTTTTTGACTTTGATATATCCGTGATGCATGCCAATGACATATTTCTATGATCTTCCCGAATCTTCCTATGATCTTCAAGGGTACTTTCAAAAGATTGGCCATAGACACAAAGAGTTACAATTACAGACCCTATTACAAAGCCATTTGTTTCTGCCACGAATGGTGAAGGGTGAAATTTTATCTGACTTGCAAGCTAATAAGTTAGTTTGCCACTGTTTCATGAATGCTGACAGAAGGCACAAGACTTCTGGTCAGAGGTAAGGAGTTAATGACTCTGAGAAAGAGCAGTAGACAGAATGTCAGCATACTGTTAGTTTTCTGAGCCCCGATACCCAGAGGCAGGTGCAGAGGATCCAATGGGTGTCTGACCATGCAATGGTAGGCATTACAGGAGAGGAACAGCAAGCTTGGAGAACCCGCTGTTTTATAGCAAGCAGTAAGCAAGCTAAGCTCTTTGCTCCAGAGGAAGATATTATTTCATACCTGAAGGTTGATTGTTGCGTACACAACCCTGAGAAACAGCCCAGGCAAAGAGTAGTCAAGGCCTTGAACTCTTGGCATACTAAGTAAGACAGGAGTCCAGAAAGAGGCCTGCAGAGGAACTACTCCCAACACTTTTTCTCTGTGAGAAGGAGGGAGATTTTCTCATTTATAAACACCCAGAGAATGACAGTCTTGGAAATTTCATTCATAGGTCACACTGAGTTGAACAAATGCATATGTGAACAACCTTTGCAGCAAAGAGAGGCACAGACAAGGCAGTTTAGAATGTCTCTTATAGCTAAAAGAAAATATCAATAGTGAAGGACATCCTACAGGGCACCTCTCTTCACCATTCTACTGAGACAGGCCCCTGGTCTTGGTAAACTAAACACCTGATGTAGAGAAGCAGATGTTTCTGTCATTCAAGGT